ACACACACACACACACACACACACACACACACACACACACACACACACACACACACACACAAGATAAGGCTCTTCACAGCGTCTTTTCTTGAGGAAACTGAAATGGGCCAAAAATCCTCATCAGCTAATGAACAAATTCTACATATGCTATTTGAAGTGTATTAACCTATGGATTCTTATTGTGGTTCTCCAGCTGCAGTAAAGCATACCAGGAAGCTCTCCAGCAATKAACCCAGCAGGGAAAATCATCAGGATTACTGTCCCGGAGACCAGAACTATCTGTACAACCCGTTGTTTCAGATGAGTGGACAACATCCTCCAGGACAGGTACCACCCTTCACATGACCTAATCCATCTGTTACACTCCAACAGAAGGTATCTGTCCAWACAGGTGTCAGGACCACCAGAATGGCTCAAAGCCTGCAGTCACAGGCCCATTTACAGGATCATTTAGTTCCCAGCTGCACAGAAATCATCTAAACCTTTCTTAAAAAGTCTATATAACAAATCATTTATTTTGCAATAAATGATTTGTCAACACAACTGATTAGAATTGTAAATGACATCTGAGACTGTGTGCCTCATTGTCTTGTACTAGAACTACTTTTACAGTAAACACTCTTTGATCCAACCACAAAAATATTCTGGCTTGTGTGTTAAATATGAACACAATACACAACAAGCTTTGGAAATGTTTTAATATTTAGTGTTCCTCATAAACAKAGAGTAAATACAAAAACACAGCCTTACCATCAGTGTGTGAAATTAATAAATATGCATTAAATACATTTCTTTAAAAGCCTTAAGTGATAAGTTACATGGTTCTCTTTAAATGGATGTCGAGCTGACAGAACTCATTATGTTTAGCAGTAGATCCATTAGAGTACATTTTTATTAAAGTTGAATGGGAGACAGTCTTGTTTTTGTACCAGACAGCACAGGAAGACATTATTTGCAATTTTATGTTGCCCTTTAGGATCGGCGAACAGATGAATGTTGGTGCGTCTCGTCACCCTAGGTTCTATGTTTTTAATGATGATTTATGTGAAAAATGTTGGTCTTGCATAATAAACCAAATAAAAACTGGTTCACAAGACAAATGTGACTTTTCATACTGAATATAGCAGGTGCTGATGTGGTATACATGTAAATTATTCACTACAGGAGCTCAGGAGAGCTGAACAAAAATGTTGTGTGCGATGCTCTCAGTCTGCAAAATTATTCACCAAACAAAATCACTAAATGAGATGATCAGAGGGCAGCATRATGCTTTCTTCGCTTCTTCCCCTCTCATCTTGTCTTATAGTGCTTTCATAATGATGGGTTTCTGTCTGGTTCCAAAGAGGCCAGATACAGAGACTTGAATTATGTCAAATAACAGCTAATACTTTTCAAAGATAAGCTTATTCACACACACACACACACACACACACACACACACACACACACACACACACACAC